AGTCAAGCATTCACAAAACTGTCTCAGAAGTTTTTTTAGTACAAAATCTTATCTTTCTAACGCTATCTAGCGTAACCCGATCGCACTTATACAACACGAGATACAGATTACTAAAGCCATCTATTGGAAAAATAATAGATTTCTTTTTACTTCATCTTATACATATTTACCATTCTTATTCCTTAATAAAACTTTATAAATTCATTTTATAAGTTATGTTGTCATCATACGTCTTATTTATACGTATTATTTGTGAATTTTTTATGAGCCATACATATCCCCCTCGTCCCCCCCTATGAGTAACCTTACATCTCCTATGGAATATACGGTAAAAATGCAAGAGTTTTAAAAAGTTTTTTTTTTTAATATGAAAAATTAATTTTTGAATTTCTAATATTTTTTTCATAGTAGTAGACAATACAAAGTTTTTACTGATACAGTTTATTTACTATAAGCATAGTAAATAATACTTAATAAATTAAGTTTTTAGGTGCGGCGTATATATCGGAGTTACCTAATTATATATAATTATATTAGGTGTTGGAATTAATTCGTAGCGTTTTACAAGAGATGGGAAGTGATGGGAAGTACTTTCATTAATGTATTTTTTAATGCTCATGTGAAATAAATAACATTCTTTCATTTAAAAAACGCTACGAATTAATTCCAACACCTAATATATAAAACATTTTTTCCTGGAAACTTTTTAGCTTTTGGAAAAATGTTGATTAGCTGTTGTTAAAAAGATGTCATCGTGCGGTATTGAATAAATTTGAAATGTATATTGAAGTCATAAGTCGTAAGTTCTTCATGTAACATTTGTAGGAATTAAATTTTAAAGCTCAACGTTTGTATTAATATCTCAAAATTTATAAACTAGATTTTAAAATATAACGATTCGTTGCCTCGAATATGCCACGAAAAATAAAAAATAATGGATTTAATGAACTGGATTTTACTTTAATGAAAAGGTACAATAAATATTATGTAGATTGTACAAATTGCAGCAACAAAAGCAATAATAAAAGTTTTCATATTTTCCTAAATTAAATCTTTAGAATTTTGATTTTTAATTTATAAATATTTCCTAAAAATGTTGAGTATATATAATTTATGGATTTAATAAATACTTACATAATTTTACTTACATAATGCTTATACAATTTATATTTAAAATGAGAATATGTGAGCGTGCTCACGTAGCTAAAATATTCAAAATGTATCACAGGAATATTCTAAAGATATTGCCATATATTTTTATAACCTAATTCCTAAACGTATTTCGGACAATTCTACTTTGTGGGTGTAAAGATTATTTTATAATTTAATTATAATTCTTTTATACTGTATAAAACATGTTAGCGATGCATTTTACAACATAGTCTACATAGTCTATATTTACATGACAATAAATTATATAAACATCACGTAAATTTCACGTAAATAATCCGTATAGACGCAATCTTAAAATCTACAGCACAACCCTATTAAATAGGGTTTTTCAACGGATATGGGATTGCATATTGCTCAATTAAAATATGGTTGTATGTACTTTTAGAGGAGAAGAGGATACCGTTACGGCCTCTTATTTACATGTTTCATGATAATATTATTAGTAATTAATATTTAAATTTAAAACTTATCGATTACATTCGTTGTCGAAGTGTAATTCATTAATCAATTTTAGATTCAAAATTATGAGAGAGAGAGAGGGAGAAAGAGAGAGAGAGAGAGAGAGAGAGAGAGAGAGGGAGAAAGAGAGAGAGAGACAGTTTTAATTTATTGATATACAAATCTGCGAAGAAAAAAACGCTATGCCAGGTATTGCATCGCTTTGCGTATGTCCGCATTTATACAATAGATAAATACATGTCACAAAATACACGCGCTTGTGTAAAATTTATGTACAATTTTGTTCTTAGAAGAAATGCTAAGAGGTATTTCCCGCTAATCGACAGAATATTTTTTTTCGGTGGATATGATTTATTGCTATAGCGTTTTATAAATAATTTTTTTCATCAAAGTTTTAAATGAAATTTTTTTTTTAATAAAATTTATTTATCTTTATTACATTTATTAATTACAGTATGCCGATATTAATTTTTATTATATTAGGTGTTGGAATTAATTCGTAGCGTTTTACAAGAGATGGGAAGTGATGGGAAGTACTTTCATTAATGTATTTTTTAATGCTCATGTGAAATAAATAACATTCTTTCATTAAAAACGCTACGAATTAATTCTAACACCTAATATTTTGTTGATTATAGCTATTAATAAGAGATTATTTTATACAACGGTATGGATCAATTATACAATACTACGTATGATGTTTTATTAATAACAAAATACGTATTTCTGAATTTTTTATCATTTTGATTAAAGTATCTTTAGATACGGGTTTTCAACATCTTATTCCTGTAGTCGTCCAGAAGCTGTACCAAGAGCGGATTGCCACCTAAACGATCAATTTCGGTTCTTATTTTTTTTTCCAATTCATCAAGTACATCTTTTGTGTACTTAAATGAGCCGTAACTCTCTAATATTTTAACACAGTAACGTTTTACTTCAATATTCTTCGATCGTTGTTTTAAAATATCTTGAATTATTGTTAAGAATTTTAACATTATCTAAAAATTTTGTTATAAAAATTTTCAAAATATGATACGTTTATCATTTAATTTTTTTATTGTCTATTTAATACGAAATATATTCTTTA